ACTCCTCCTGAGCGAGGAGTTATGGTCGTTTGAAGTTGACCAAAAACTCAACTTAACATACTTAACAAATTTCCAGATTTTTATATTCTTTCCAAAAATGGTTATTTCCAATTCTTAACTTCTTCCTAGTTATTTCAAATTGGTGAGATGTTACACCCACGCTGCCAGAACTGTCTTATACTTTGCCATCATATAGAACGCCTTATCAAAGTGGATCCACTAGTCTATGCTAAAAAACACTAAGGAATCATCTAAAAAGTATGATCCTTTCTACCCATGATGTCTACATGGTTTATGGAGACTTGAGTTATTATGAACTCGCATTCCCATATCGGTGCTCAATACTTCTCCCAAAATATAATTAGCTCATATGTTTTTAAAACAAGACTCTTTCTTTGGTTTGAGATAATTACTCAAAACTTAGCTTAAAAGCTCTCTTTGAAATCAATGTTTCCTTTCTTACTCAAATGTGAAAACATTTTAACTTTTGGGAATACTTAGTTCCCATATAATCTTTGAAGAAATGAACTCTTACTCTTATTCATTAGTCAACTCAAAGATTAAGTCTTAAAATGAAGTTAAAACGCTTGTAAAAGAGTTTTGAAAAACTCTATGAACTTCTCTTGACTCGATTCTTAACTTCTTAACTTGATTCTTAACTTTCCTCAAATTGAATTATGGATTCAAGGCTCATGATCTCATGTTTATGGATGATTCCATGATGTTTAGACGCACCTTGGAGTGTTGGAATCAACTAGGAAACATAGGTACGTTGCTAAGGAACTAGTACGGAAAGAAGGGGGAGAAGTGGGAAGACCTGGCGTCCCTAGCGCTCTGAGAGGCGCGAGACGCCAGCCTTAAAACTTCAGAGGAAGGGGTGGGGCACACTGGCTGGCGCGGCGCCCCAGAGCCCATATTTCGGTGCCCCACTTGGGGTGCTATGGCTGGGGCGGCTCCCAGGCCCCTGCCCAGGTGAACTTCGACTTTTCTCCTTCGTTTTTCAACTCTAAACCCCATATTTCAACTTAGTTCTTTCCCCAAACACTTAGAATCGACTATACCCTCAATATATACAAGATTCAACTCGAAATCACACCTAAATACATGAATCAACCTCAAGAAACATCAACAACAAGAACCCACAAGAATTCAAACGAATTAACATAAAAAACTCATAGGATTTGCTTTCAAAACTATACAACTTCGCTGAATTGAATCATGATTGGCACGTGGGTGAACTAACCCAACGCTATGTGATCTCACATACCTCGTAGGGATTAACCTTTGGCTAAATCCACACGAAAATCTCCAAGAAATCGATGAATCTTTGAACTTTCTTCTCCTTTCTCCTCTTTTCTCTTTTCTCCAAGCCCTAGCCTGAATTTCCAATTATCTAAACTGATCTAATTCTGATTATACCCCAAATAAACTACCTAAAAACGAATTAAATTAATTGGGAAAGGAAAAGTTTAAAATAACCTTCCAAAATCCGGTTTAGACTTTCCTTATTTGAACAGCCCAACTTCAAATAGGCATATCTCACTCATACGAACTCGGAATCGCGCGAACTTGGCGGCGTTGGAAAGATAATTCCAAGATTTTTCCTACGGTATCTGGAAGTACACCTAAATCATTCTGAGCTAGGAGTTATGCTCATTTGAAGTTGACCCAAAACTCAAATTTAACATAACTTAACAATTTCCAGATTTTTCATTCTTTCCTAAAATGATTATTTCCAATTCTAAGTCTTTCTAGCTCTTTCAAAAAGGCTAGGTTAATCTCTTCATTCACACAAGTTTCATGTTCCTTGTCATGTCTTTCCCTTATCTACGCTATAAGAAAGTCTACAAGTATTGTAAGTAAAAATAAAAGAACAAACAACAATCACATATAGAGTATAATTATCACATACAATATTTTGGTGAGTTAAATTTAATGGGTTAGTAAGGTCACAATTTAAACCTAGTTGAATCTTTGTTCTTTCCATATTCATGCTACAGTTATGAGAAAAAATATGTCATATTATAACATTGCAAATGGATATTTAGTGGCTAAAAGGACACAATTTAAACCTAGTAAAATCTTCCATCATTTTTTATCAACCATAGAAGTAAATATGTCATACTAAATATATTCTTTGCGAGTTAAAAGTTTAACAGATCACAACTTAAGCTTAGTTGAAGTTCACTCATCTTTTATTTAAAACCTATATGTCAATTATGTCATATTGTAAGTTAAAAAATTTAACGGTGAGAAGGTCACAATTTAAATCTAGTTGTATTGCTAATCATTTTTAATGAATTATATAAGTAAATTTATGTTATACTATAAATATTACTTGCGTGCTAAAAATTTAACGGCCAAAATCTCACAATTTAAACCGAAGTATCTCTTTTATCTTATTTTATTAACCATAGTAAGTAAGTTTATGTCATACAATATCTTTTGCAAGTTAGTAAGCTTAGCATACAAAATATCGTAATTAAAATCTAGCCGAATCTTCTATCCCTAACCATATACGAAAAGGAAGTTAATATCTCCAAAGGTCACTCAACTTTGAAAATTTATCTAGTAAAATCATTAAACTTTGTTTTGTATCAATAAAATCACTCAACTTACACATTTGTATCAATAAAATCACTCTTAATGCTTTTTTATACTTGTCTACCACAATATACCCTTAAATGTGAATTTCATCATCTTCTTTCTTTTTTTCTCCCATAATTCCTGTTAAAGCTAATGAACTGACTAAATGAATTAGCTTTTAACAAGCATAAAAATCAAAACAGTTCTATTCATACTAATTAAAGACTATTCAAATTAATAATTTGACAATCTATGACGAGATCCAATTCCATCAACAAAGACCATCTCCAAGACAAGCCAAATAAAGTTCTTATATATTATTCTTAATTTTAATCCCAACACATTTTAGCTGAACTTCACAATATCTTTTCTTTTCTTTTTTGGGTCACTTAATTTTATTTTGAAAAAACTCTTTATAACTAAATTAATCATAAGCAAACAAAAAAATATTAATTCCATGAGTTGCTAGAGTGAGGTAAAGTTTAAACCAAAATACATCGTAACAAATTCACGGGATTAAGAGTGATTTTATTGATGCAAAGATCAAAGTTGGGAGATTTTATTGATATAAAGGTCTAAGTTGAGTGATTTTTTTATACAAAATAAAGTTCAATGACTTTGCTAGATAAATTCTTAAAATTTAGTGATCTTTAGAAATAGTAACTCTAAGAAAAAGCAAGTTGTTTTCACCACTGAACTCATTGCAAAGGATCTAGGATAGGCGGCCAACCTCCTGGAGAGAGCGATGTGCATAGACCAATTAAAAATGAATTTTCTCTCCCAAATCCCATTTCCTCTCTTCCAGAAATTGGAGTGATTACACTTTATTTAAGGAGGAAAATAATTAATAATCTTGATCCAAGAAATGTTATATATGTGGGTATAACTTCTTCTTTTCTTTTTCTATTTTTGGTTTTCTTTTTCATATATATATATATATATATATATATATATATATATATTTAAAATGTTATCCAAGGAAAACAACGTGTTTTTTTTAAAGCATTTGAATATTACGAAGAAACAAGTACGCCCTTCAATAGTTAAATCACATAAAGAAAAAATCTTAGTTGAGCGAAGAAAATTCAACCTGCCTAGCAATATTTGGATTAAATATCTTCTTTAATTTCTCAAGAAAAAATAATATCTTCTCCCCTAAACATTCATTCATCATCATTTTGTTTTTATTTTTCCATCATGATTATAAATTTTGGCAACAATACAACTCGATTAAGGATTTTAAAATCAAAACATAAATTTTAAAATCAAAACATAAATGAAGGACAAGTAATATATTTAGTGTTTGTTATAATGTTCTCATACTTTAATTAACCACACAAAAAGTACACTACATAAAAAATGATCTTTAGCAACAATTAATTAACGATAATAACTCAATTACCGCTATGTATGTATTTTTTAGCGGCAATGAGTCACACTTTGTAGATGTTCCTAAAGGCTTTAGCGACATTGGATCTGATGGCTCTGAACTAATGTCATGCATAGAAATTTATTTTGAAACTGAAGTGCAGACATATCTACTTATAATTAAACTCTTACTAGCAAGATTAGATCAAAGGAGATGATAATTGGATTGATCAAGGAGGCTCTATTGCCTGGTAAATTCGCTACATAAAAAGTATTTTCTTAGAGTAAATATGAAGAATAACTTTAATTAACCTTCTATGTGAAAAAAAAAATTACACAAAGCATATTCAGTAAGCAAAATAAATTACAGCCTTTTTGACAAAGCAAGAAATTAAAGTTGGAAGTATAAATATACTCCAATAAGATGGATCTTAACAGACTTATAAAACAGTATAAATAGTAGACATTGATCATATATCCTTATAAGTTGTTGTGGTGGTGGTGATTTGAATCTTGTACATTAATGTCGAATGATGTATCATCAAGTAAAGTCATTATCTCATCATCATTCAAACTCAGCAACTCAGAAAATGAAGGACTACGTGGAATGCCTAATGAGCCATCAACATTGTTATCCATTGGCACTGATGCACTCATGGAGGGGATATTCATCAAAGGGTCTATTTGTGGTGCCGTTGGAGGAAACACTAAATTAGACATTGGAGGAGTAATCATCGGTGAAGGCATTGGATAATATTGGCTTGTTGGAAGGATTGGATAGGCCATTTCAAGATACCTTTGTGAAGATAACAAAGAAGGAACCTGCGAAAGATCCACAAGTGGAACCATTTGGGGAGGATTCCTCAAAGGGAACATGAATTGAGGCATTTGAGCAGGAGCGTTTGAAGGAACCATCAATGGAGCCGTCAGAGGAACCATCGATGTTGGAGTTATATCACGAACCAAATTAAGAGGAGCCCTTGGGCTCTCGAAGTTGGTCCCACTAGGTACAGTAGATGAAACCAAAAGAGGAATCTCGGATAGTACTAAAGCATCAAAGGGGCCAAAAGAGGAGCCCATGACATGTCAAAGCTAGTCCCACCAGAATCCATCGGTCCAGCAATAGGTTGAGGAGCATTTGATGTAGAACCTTCTTCATGAGTTTTTGCTTTGATCCCATCATTTATCGGTTTGAGGTTTTTATTGATCACATAACAGAGATCGTTGAGATCTTCTATGTGCCTACTATTGGGCATCTCTTCACCATTCAACAATCCATACATCTGGTTTGTATACTCCATTTTCTTGTTTTCCTTCCTTACCTTCTCAAGTTCCTTCTCAATTTTCTCGATCCTTTTCGTGGTTATCTTTTCTAGTGTTTTCATGTTTTTTGATTTCTTCTCCTCGAGAAGATCAATAAACTTTGTAAAGATGCCGGTAGCAGCTTCATGATTTGGAAACACCTCAGGTTCATTGTGGTAAGGGCTATTGACTAAGGTAGACAATTCAACATCGCAAAGGGTGTTGAGTTCACGAGCCTTGGTTAAAAATCCCTTTTGTCGTTTTCTATATGAGACTCTCCTCTCAGTGTTATTTTCAATGAAAGCCAACTTCACTTTCTTTCTAACGATGGTTAAAAATGAGGAAGAGGAGGAGAAATGTGTTTATTAGGATATGGGGGATGAAATGGATTTATTATTCTTATTGTTGTTGGTGTGTTTCTTTGCTAAGAATTGCCTTCTATTTGTAGGGTACAAATAAATTTTTAAATAATTTGAATTAGAGAATACTTAGTTTTCATGGGTACTATTTTTGGCATAAAAATAAATGAGGGTAGATTTGATATCAAATTAGATTCCATCATCTTGAGATTAATATAGTTATGACTCTAGTCTTATGTTGAACAAATCTTTTTTAGTCAAAATTTTCTTATTAGGAAAATACTTTAATTGATTTAGATTTAAGTAAGTATTATCTATAAAAAGAAAACTGACCATAGAGTATTAACAAATGTTTTTTTAAAGAAAGTTTGAAAAATTGTATATTTTAATTTATGAATGTAAAAGGATAAATATTGAAACAAGTGAAAATTTGAAATATTGGCCAAAAAAAATTGAAATATTAATTTTAAAAATATTTGAATAATATAATAACAATTAATTTCATTATTAATAAAAATTCAAATATTTATTGAATATAAAAATGAAGATATGTGTATGATTATTGCCATTGCAATGCTTATAAAAGCATATTATAGTTTTTTCCAATTTTGGAAGAAACCATATTTAGTAGAAATTTTATATTGCTTTCAATTATATTAAAAATCAAATCAGGCTCAAATTTTAATTTTGTTACATTAAAAAAAATTCTAAATCAGTTTCAAGGCAAATCAGTACATAAATAATTGCACAAGACAGTTACCAAACTAATGTGTTTACACATATTGAGGAAATAACAAAGAATTTTGTTTCATTTTAAGAATAGTATCCAATTATATTAAAATTCAAATCATTCTCAAATTTTATTTTTGTTACATTAAAAAATTTATAAATTAGTTTCGAGCAAAAGCAATACATAAAATAATTGCACAAAACACTTACCAAACTAAATGTGTTTACACATATTGAGGGAAACAAAAAGTAGAAATTTTGTTTTCATTTTAAGAATAATATTCAATTATATTAAAAATCAAATCATGCTCAAATTTAGTTTTTTTACATTAAGAAAGAATTCTAAATTAGTTTCGAGCAAAACGAATACATAAAATAATTGCACAAGATACTTATCAAACTTATATGTTTACACAAATTGAGGGAAAAAAAGAGAATTTTGTTTCATTTTAAGAATAGTATTCAACTATATTTAAAATCAAATCATTCCCAAATTTGTTTTTGTTACATTAAAATAAATTCCAAATTAGTTTCGAGCAAAAGCAATACATAAAATAATTGCATAAGACACTTGCCTAACTAATGAGTTTACACATATTGAGGAAAGAAAAGTGAATTTTGTTTCATTTTAAGAATAGTATTCAATTATATTAAAAATTAAATCATGCTCAAATTTTGTTTTTGTTACATTAAAAAAAATTCTAGATTAGTTTAGAGTAAAAGCAATACATAAAATAATTGCACAAGATACTTACCAAACTAATGTGTTTACACATATTGAGCAAAGAAAAGAGATTTTTTTTTTTCATTTTAAGATTAGTGTTCGATTATATTAAAAATCAAATCATGCTCAAATTTTATTTTTGTTACATTAAAAAAAATTTCTAAATTAGTTTCGAAGAAAAGAAATACATAAAATAATTTCACAAGACACTTACCAAATTAATGTGTTTACACATATTGACGATAGAAAAGAGAATTTTATTTCATTTTAAGAGTAGTACTCAAGAAGAAGATGAGGAAATAGATGTAGACTATCTTACTAATATTTTATGAAATGAAAATAGACATTTTATGATGATTTTTTATCCCATATGTTCACTAAGTTAAATTTTAATTATCTTAGGCTCTACATTTAAATTTATCAGATCTTTTCTATTCAATGTCTATCTGTATAAGTCCAAGCGAAAGAAGAAAACATAAATATATTTAATTTATGTCGTATATTATGATTTTGTCACATCAGGTTCAACAGCTAAAAGTTCATAATTTAAACTTAATTAGTGAATTCTTCTTTCTCCAAATCATTTTTTAGTTTCAATCAATAAAGTTTCTCTATCAAGAAATAAAAAAGTCTTGACTTTTGGGCGCTTAGGTTAATCTCTACATTCACGCAAGTTTCATGTTCCTTGTCATGTCTTTCCCTTATCAACGCAATAAGAAAGTCTGCTAGTGTAAGTAAAAATGAAAGAACAAACAACAATCACATATAGAGTGTAAATATCACATACTATATTTTTTGTGAGTTAAATTTAATGGGTTGCTAAGGTTACAATTTAAACCTAGTTGAATATTTGTTCTTTCCATATTCATGTTACAATTATGAGAAAAAATATGTCATATTATAACATTGCAAATGGAGATTTAATGGCTAAAAGGTCACAATGTAATTTAAACCTATTCGAACCTTTCATCATTTTCTATCAACCCTATAAGTAAATATGTCATATGATGAGTCCGATATTTCGAATCATTTAGGGCTTTGTTTTGATAGTATAAGTATCCTCAAATGCCTATTTTAGGCTCTAAATTGATGTTAAAGTGCTGATTTGCAGCTATGGAGGCTAAGGAGCAAGGCAAGGAAATTATCGGACAAAAAGGAACTAAAAAACTAAAGAAGTGAAGAAAAGTTATCATGGTGATTGCCAATACCACTCCGTGCACCGCCTAGTGGCGCTTTAGCTCACCCAAAGTTTCAGCGTGCCAGCCCTGGAAAAAACCAAGTTGGCAAAGAAATGGGCAGTCGACGAATCGCCGATCGGTTCCGCGACAACAAACTGGATCCCCCAATGTTACATGACTTGGGATGCTGAGGACCAATGCAAAATGGCAATGGAAGAGAGCAAAAGGCGGATCGCCGAACAACTTGGCTAGGCGCGACTTATTCCGCCGAGTGGACTTTTAGGCCAAAATGCAGGCAACTATAAATTGGATTTTAAAAGAAGTTCTCAAGAGTTTTTAGTTTTTGGATCCCCAAGTTTTAGAATTAGAGTTTTCTCTTAGTTTTTTAGTTTTTATTGTAGACTTTGAGGATTTCTAAGCTTAATTTTGAGGATTTGAAAGTGGATCTTTGAATTTAACCCTTGGAAAACATTGTAAAAGGCTTGGAGACTCTTACCCAGCTGATGACTAATCGAGTTGGTAATTGTTTTAACCTTTTTATGATGTTTAGCTAAAACCCCAATTCTTGGGGTGTGATCATATGATTATGGGCTGAATTAGTTTATGGGTATTGTTAATTACTAATTTAAATGCTTAGTTGAAGTGGGTTTAATTGATAGTTGTGTTTTAAACTAAGAATTGTTACAAATGCAATTAGAACTTAGAATTTTGGGCTTGCTTAAAAAAGAGGTTTTATAAAAAAAAGGTTTTATAATCAAGGCTTTCAATTGATGATTGTAGTTATTGGGGTTGACATGGGTTTAGCTCGAAAGAGTAAAATTCTAAATTTTGTTCTACCCATCTAGCTGGAGAGAGTGGATGAATTAAGATGTGGGTTGTTCTTATTTCCTAAGCTTGTTGATGTTCGAAAGAAATCATCTGATTTATAATAGTTGTTCAAGAGAAAGCCATTGCATCTATAGTCTAGCCTACCCGCTACTATTTATCTATTTATTAGTAATTTCAATTAGCCATACAGTGAAATTTGCCTATAATAGATCACATCCCGAGAATCCCTCTCTAAATTGTTATTTCCTTAGTGTTTGATTGTATTGTAGCTGATAATTGCAAATCCAAACCCCCCATCTAACATTCGTTGTCACCTCTTTAGATTTGTTTGTTTGTATGTTTTCGATAATTTCTATTCCTATAACTGATTATACCACGTTTGCACTTCATAAGTGAATTTGAACACGTACCGCTCCCTGTGGGTTCGACCCCAACCTTTCGTTGGGTTTTATACTAGTTAACAATCGTTTACACCTAGAATTGGATGAAGTGTACTTGAAACATTATTTATACTAAATATATTATCCGCGAGTTAAAAAATTTAACAGACAAAAGATCACAACTTAAGCTTAGTTGAACTTCAATCATTTTCTATCTAAAACCTATATGTATATTATGCCATATATATTCTTTACAAGTTAAAAAATTTAACGGTGAGAAGGTCACAATTTAAATCTGGTTGTATTTTTAATTAGTCCTATACATAAATTTATGTTATACTATATATATATTACTTGCGAGCTAAAAGTTTAACGGCCAAGCCAATTGATTCGATTTTCTCAAAATCAACGAGTGGACATGAAATCATAGATCTATTTTGTGATCCACGCGACTCAGATAAGAATCCTATATCTTACCCACCTAGTGTTGTTCTGATTGAATTTTAAAGATATCGCTTGCTGTCAAAGAGCATTATGTGAAGTGTTCTCCTACCCCTTTCACCTGAGATAAAGTCAACTGGAAATCGTGATCGGAGTCGTGGTGTAAAAATGATGATTTGAAGATTCATTCGATAAAGAAGGGTGTCTTGGTTGCTGATACCGAGGTTGATGAATCATTCCACCTGGCAACAGCCAAAAGTGGAGTTTGGCACAGGTCAAAGGCGAAAGCAAGAAGGAATTCCACTGTGGAAAGGAAAATGGCAATTCCAAAAGAAGGACCCTCGGACAAGCTTCCTGTCCAAGTTTCATAAAATTAAGGAGGTTAAAATCAAAACATAAGTGCTAACTTAAATGTAGACAAGTATTATATATTTTGTGTTTATTATAATGTTCTCATACTTTAATTAAGATTACACAAAAAAGTACTACTGTCATGCTTAGAAATCTATATGAAACCAAAGTACAGACATTTCTACTAATAATTAATATATCATAGATCCTTATAAGTTGTTGTGGTGGTGATTTGGATCTTGAACATGAATGTCGAAAGATGTATCATCAAGTAAAGTCATTATCTCATAATCATTCAAGCTCAACAACTCAGAAAATGAAGGACTCCGTAGAATGCCAAATAAGCCATTAACATTGTTCTCCATTAACACTAGGGGATATTCTTTGAAGGGTCTATTTGTGGTGCCATTGGAGGAACAAGCATTGGTGAAGACATTGGATAAGTGATTAGCTAGGCCATTTCAAGATACCTTTGTGCAGATAACAAAGAAGGAACCTGCAAAAGATCCTGTCACGACCCAATCCACGGGACCATACGGGCACCTAAATACTAACACCTAAGTAGGAGAACCCTTATATCCCAATAGTCAAACATGACGGAAAAATTAAAGAAAATGGAGATAAATATACTAACAGGATTTCATAAATAAGAACCTTTAAAATAATTTTGGTTAAGACTTGTAAAGTAATTAACACCCCAGGGATCTAGCCTAAACAAGTACAAGAGCTACTAAGAGTACAAAGCCAGACATGATAATGAAAAGACACAACTCCTACCACATGGAAGGAAAAATAGAAGCTGTTGCAGATTTGTCTTCGTCTTCACCTATGAAACATCATTGATCCTGCAACCAGACTATGCCAAAAAGGCATAGCAAGAGTAGTATCAGTACAAAACCACACGTACTGGTAGGCATCATCCGTCATCCTGATGCCCACAACTTAATATAAGAATTCAACTAGCAAGAACATGAAATAAAACCACTCGCTCTTCCACCTTTACTCTCTCTAAAATACCTCTAAATTACACTAGTACCCTTACTACTAACCACCATCTCAGTACACCTACTTACTAGATTCTTGATCATAGTTTAACCGTTCTACCTCAAAGAAGAGTCCACTATTGCAACTACCAACATCCTGACTAACCATACACGACATACCCTTTTCATCTCTTCATCTTACCCAGTCCTTGCCACGTGGCACCTTTTATCAAGGCTTCCTAACCACTAACCACGAATTCCTTGCAACACCCGGACAACCTTTCACTTAAATATTAGAGACTCTTGAACCCCTGGCCCTTCCCACATACCATATTCCATCCCATTTTAGGGGTTGCCCTTTCCGGTTCATTCACCAATGTGATACATAACAAGTTTACTCAACATAGTAGAATAATGAGATATAAGTCCTCATAATCATTTAACAATTTCGGAGAGATACAATATCAATTATCATTTACGAACAACATACAATTCCACAATTATCAAGATATACAATTATGTCAAGTCAATGGTCCTCTTATGGAACCCAAACCCAAATTGTTAGCATACTAGAACGTGGTACCCGATCCAATGTTTATGCGGAACGTGGCAACCGATCCATATAATCATCTTTTATTCGGTTCACGAAGGCCTACGCATAAATCTTACTATTGATTTACATTATACTACGCAGTGAGCACAGATTTATAACTACTCAATTAATAAACCTAGCCCACCTGGGCACCAAGCAGTTGCACGGGGTTTTTGGCTTCGATTCTTGTTTCCAGACTTTGTGATGGTGATCTTGACTGGAAATCCGCAATCCATCGATCTCCTTATGCTAGAAATCTCATTCTCCTTCCTTCCCAAGCTTAGAGAAGATTTTTGGGGGTTTCTAGGGTGGTTTACGTCTAAATTAGGTGTTTTAGGAAGAAGGAGAAAAAAAGATTTCATGTTATCTACATTTTGTCTCTCCTATCCCGCTCTGGCACCAGCTTACCCCACCGTGGCGCCGCTACCCTAGCGGCATCTGGCCCACCCAGACTGTAACACTCCAGAAAATTTTTGAACTGAGACTCGAACCATTCTTCGTTGTGAGTAAGATTATACCAAGGAATTTAAAATTTCTTAAGTATTAAGGTCAGGTCACTAGATGTAGCACCTTGAGTTCCACAAAGAACTAAATTGAAAATAACAAAATCTGAAATTTTGCAAGTTAAGTTATAAGTTTTGGGTCAACTTCAAACAACCATAACTCTCAGTATAGGATGTGTTAGGTGGTCTACAACATAGCTAATGAAAGATCTTTGAATTATCTTTCCAATGTCAGCGAGTTTGCTAAGTTTCGAGCTCACATGAGGGAGATATGCTTGTTTGAAGTCAGGCTGTCTAATTAAGGAAAGTTACCTGAAAATATGAGAGGTATTTTGGTCTTTTCCTTATCAAATTAGATTTAATTCATTTTTAGTAAGGTTTTAAGGTTCTAATCCTATTAGGTTCAATTTTATAATCCTAACATACGCCTAGGATTTTAGTTGAGAGTTCAAGAAGAGAGGAGAAAAGAGGAGATGATCAAAGCGTTCGTTCAAGAAATTCAAGATTTCGTCAAGAACCTAGTTCTTTGAGGTATGCAAGCTTCCATAGTGTTGGGTTCGTTCATCCATACGCCAATCATGAGTTTCTTTTGAGAATCTATTCATAAATATTGAGCAATTTAATTTCTTGATAAGTGTTCTTGAAGTTTCGTTATAGATTAAGTTTTGATGTAAGATTCTACTGGGTCAACTTTGAACGACCATATCTCTTAGCATATAAAGAGTTACGTGAGCCATAACCTATTAAATTAAAGTTATTTGAATCTACTTTCCAACGCCACCAATTTCGCGTCAATCCAATTTCTGAGTAAAATGTTATGACTATTTTAGTTACCTATACAGTGCTGTTACGAATTTAGCCGACGGGAAAACATTAAAAAGGGTTGTTTTTTTTTTTTACCTTCAAGAAAACCTTAAACGAATTTCTTGACTATTAAAAGACTCAAAACAATCAGATTTTCATCTTTTAATCCATCATTCTCTTCTCTCTCAAGCCCAAGGGCAAAACCCTAAGGAAAAATCAAAGTAGACTTCATTCAAGATTCTTTCAGTCTTTTTCAAGATTCTTCTTCAAGGTAAGTTTTCTCCAAGAATTCCATTCCTTCTAACTCAAGTTCCTCCATACAATTATGAATCACTAATGAAAATAATAAATCCTGGCCATAGAGATTTCAAGAAACTAACTGAAGAATCTCAAGAAAGATTTTCTTGATTGTTTACCTTCAAGGTAGTGTTTCAAGGCTTCTAATCAAGTTCTTCTTCAAGATTCTTCAAGAACCTTATTTTTTTTCAAGTATTTAAGGCTATCATAGTGTTGGACTAGTTCGTCCTCATGCCCTACATCTACTTTCAAATCAGTAAAAGAGAAATCTAGGATTATACCCCTAGCTTTGAGTATTCTTGAGCTAAGTTGATTTTGAGTTCTTGAATTCCCGATTCTTTAAAAATGCTATTCCTAATTATTGAGTTTCTATATTTTTATTGAGATCCTTGAGTTGATTTGCTCATGTTTATAATTCAGCATGAACCCTATTTTGAGTTATATATCTTGAGAAGCTTTTCAAAGCCAACACTTGAGTTTTAAACTGAGTTTTGAGGAAATAAGTATGAGAATGAGAAGAGTCGTATACATGAGTTTCATAATGTTCTTTAGACCCTTGAATGGAGTCGTTCATGCTCATAAATTCCGCAAGAACACCATACATTGAGTATCTTCGAGAGGAATAGCATCTTCGAGTTCTAAGTCTTTGAGCATTGAGTTCCTAATCCTTTTGAGATTATATTCCTACTGATGGGACTACTACATGTTACCCATAAAGCCCTTGAGTTCATTCCCATAATTTTGCATGAACCCTATGAGTCGAGCAGTCTAGAGATGCGTAGTATCATTGATTCTTGAGTTCTGAGTACTGAGGTTCTTTATTTCTATTAAGATTCCTAAGTTGACTCGTTCATATTCATATATAATTCCACATGAACCCTATGATTTGAGTTATAAATTTTAAAA